CCATCGGAAGGAAACCTGTGGGGGCCTTATACAAAAAGTCTAACATGCTATAATGTTCCATCTCGAGATTCCAAAGACGCTTGTCGCTCTGTGCTGTATATTAATGTTTTAGGCCCACGCGAGCGCTATTTCAAATCGAGTTGAATTACAGCAGGAGTTTTCGCACAACCCCATCAACAAAACTTAAAAGATAAGAGGCGGACTGTTTAAGCCCCATCTGTAAGAGCCAAACAAGGCTGAGCTAGAAACAAAACCCCTTCAGAAAAACCGAGGTCCTCCAAGAGAGAACCGTACCCACGTCTTCAGAGTATAAAGTGGAGGACTTAACTATCATTATTTCGCCACAAACGCAGGCAACAAGCTTTTTCTAGAAGTTCATAATCTAAATGACTTGAACTGTTTCCTTAAAAAAAAAACATCTGGTGGTCTATACCTTAACCCATGTCACGTCGACGAATGGAGATTTCAACAGCTCAACTGAAAAGCTATCTATCCATCGCAAGACCTGGGGCATCCACATATTTTTGTCGATTATTTTTGGAGAGGAAATAGAAAAGTAATGATCAGGATTGCGATAGTCAGATCTATACAGCTGTTTAATCTGGATTTCCCAAATGTTTCTTTCTTCATCTAGTAGCTCGGCATTTTTTCCGGAGCTATTCACAGATAGTATTTTTCTTTTACAGAGAACCACACAAAGAAAGACGAAATAGGCGCACTTATGCTCTACAAGACCGTATTAATTCTTTTTTTGTATGATACACATGTCTATCAAGACTAAAAGCCTTTGAAAATCGTTCGTGTATGTTGATCTACTGAGTATGGAAGATATCGTTTCATTTCTTGAAACAGGCTGAGTCTTTAATAACAAAAATGAAGATATGTTAAACGACAAAATGACAAAGAACTTTAGTTACGCAAAACTCAGGGCAAGCTTACTTTCGGATCGATCTCACTGAGAACAAAATGATTTCTTAAAGACATTTTTTCGTGGGCTTTACTAAACCCACAGAAAGTCAATAGCTCACTCGGAAATAGTCTCAAATTAGGACAACAAAGCTAATTGATGTTATTTTTGAAGACTAAGAGATGTGCTGTTTCAGAAATTGTCATTAAATCTTCGAACAGTATCTTTGGTACTCGGTGACTTCTTAGCAGCTGGGATATTAATTCTCGTTTTCAGTCTTTTTCTCATTTGTTTGGGTCTAGTTTACCCTGAAAAAAACCCAACTCCTTTTCAGTCTGTCGTAAAACCTATATTAAAACTAAACTAAAAAGTCTTCTTTGATATAAATGTTTCTACAACAAATTTGGCATTAACACGAAATTGATCGAAGACAGGTACACAAGCTGGATAAAAGCTAATATCATGTACCTGATTATCGTTAGCTCCCAAAAAAGGCAAAATACTCATTTTGTATTTTGAAGGTCCTAATCCTGTTTTTAATATGGGTATTTTACGCCCCAATCAGCTCAATATAGATCATTTGGGAGACGGGCTTCCGACCCCGCCGGTCAGGGTTAATCCAGTCTGAGGGGGATACAATATCCCGTAAGAAAGAGCGAGATACTCAATAAAAGTATCCCCATTTAGGAATCCGAACTTGAGTCTCCTGCATCCAATAGCAAGGCGCCTATCGTCAACTTCACAGACTCCACACCTTGATCCCTGGATCTATAACCATGTCACGAATGAGGTCAGTGTGTAGTCTTTACCAACCACGTAATAAATGGTTTTTTCCATACATCACCTTACCAAATTCTTATGCTCCTGCCTTTTGAATCCTGTGAATGAGCAAAATGTTGCTATAATTTGAGCTTTTTCTTTTTTGTTTTGTAAGTGAAGTACGATACTAAATAACTGACTAAACAGTGATTGCTTAAGTGTTGTCTAGAAATGTGGCATACGTTTATCTATTCGGGGCGTGACAGTGAGGGTAGCCTGGGGCTATTAGTGAGACCACGTGGAACTGAAATCCAAACGTCTATCTCAGAAAGGTGCTATTGACATAATCTGTAAGTCATTGAATCAACTTCCTGTCTATGGTCGCTCCCGCTCGGCAGCTAACGTCTCTGACACGAGCAGAATGATCAGGCATTCAGGGGACGAGGGGAGGGGGGGGGGGTGTTAGGGAAATCGGATCGGAATCCATGCTTTTAGTCGAATTCCATTTTCTTATTCGTTTTTAAAAAAAATAAAACTATACTCTGTACTCTGTGTAAAAGACAATTGTGACGTAAGAGTAAATGAGTTTTAAAATTCTCCCAGTGAACTACTGATATCATATTTACAAACGAATGAACGTGTTATAACCTTTAATATAAACAACATTCAGTATGTCATGATTCGAATTTGTGACCGGCAGGACGAGTCTAGGCGGTGGGGGAGGGCTTCCGGTGTATGTATCAGCTGCAGGTGATTTTGGTGATTAGGACAGGGGAGTGGGGGGGTCGAGGGCGGGGGGATGGGTGGGGGGAGTACGGTACTTTTAATTTCTAAACTTTTAAATGGCCTTATCAGGGCAAACATTATGACACAAAGGTTCTGTAATAGTCTTTAAAGCTCTACGAATTTGTCCGACACCCATCCGGGGATACGAAACCTTCTGATCGGTGGGGTTGCCAGTCTTACATTTTCCAGTTACAGGCTATAGGTTTTTTTTCTGAATAAGTTGAGCTGTTTCAACGGAAATGACTCAAGGGAAAGGTTTGTTTAACACCTTTAAATGTTAGGCTGTCCTATTTTGACCGATGTGCACCCCCTGGCCCTGTATATTGCGGCTACAAAAACACAGCACAGACGGTTAAAGAAAAGAAAAAAGCATAATATTATTTGTCTAAAAAGGATTGTGACACTAGGTTCCTGACTGAAACTGGCTACACACATAAGAACCCACTGCATTTTGTGATGAAGAACTCACAGATAACTAGCCCTGTGATCCATAAGCGGGAAGATTAAGAAGAAAAGACTAGAACTTGAACAGAATAAAAATTGAGAACTCTTAATATTGCTCTCATTATTTGCCGTTACATTATAATAACAACAATAATAATAGTAATAATAATAATAATAACAATAATGATAATAATAATACATTAATAATAATAATAATAATAATAATAATAATGATAATGATAACAATAATAAATTAATAATAATAATAATAATAATAATAATAATAATAATAATAATAATAATGATAATGATAACAATAATAAATTAATAATAATAATAATAATAATAATATTAATAATAATAATAATAATAATAATAATAATAATAATAATTAATAATAAATTAATAATAATAATAATAATAATAATAATAATGATAATGATAACAATAATAAATTAATAATAATAATAATAATAGCAATAATAAATATAGACCTCTATCCCATACTAGTATAAGCTCTGAGCTCTTCAAAAAATATACATACACAACAGTAGAATCTAACATACCGCGTACATAAAAGGTTAAAAACATATAAATCCATACGAACCAATAAGCACAGAGACTGAAGTATGCTATTTGAAGAAGATGATGAAATCAGACAAATGGGTTGGGGGTGGGGTGAAGGTGGAAGTCATACTGTTGCAACATTTACTTTGGTACTTATTTTAGATTACGAGTCCGTTCCAGAAACATATTATTATTTGCGAAATAATGACGGCCGCGGTAACACCCCCCC